GTGTATGTGTGTGTGTGTGTGCACGTGAGTGCGCGCGTGAGTGCGCGCGCGTGTGTGAACGTATCCATTTCTGTAGCGTCGAACACAGATGGACTGGAAACACAAAATGAACTGCTGCGTACATCTGGACAGACGATGAAAAGATTGTTTTGTCCGAGTAAAGTTAAGAACATCGACACAGCAACGATTTAAAAAAATTTTAGTAGAGTTTTTACGGCGCTCGGAACTGCATAAGGTCATAAGAGCGCTAAGGGGTGGGTGTCAACAGAGAAGTCCTTACAGGGAATCAGACTTACTCTGCTCACCTTCAACAGCACAATACGGTCTGCTTCGACTATCAAGGCACCCCGGAAATAGCGGTCACAATAGTGTGACAAACATACAAAAGAAGTAGAGGAAAATGACAATTATAGTAAGGATTAGGAAAGAAAAAGCAGCAGTTCCCGGTTGCAGATCAGGCACAGTTATGAGCGTGACATGATGCATCAGCCCATTTACAATTCTACTGTGCTTGAACGAGAAATGTCCCCCCCTTTGGGAATGGCCTAAAGACACTACAGTCAGTGGCACCGTCGCGGGGGGTACAGTAACGATCAATGAGTGAAGAGGAAAGAAAGACCAAACAACAGGACACAGTTTTCTTCTTTCAATCAGGGAACGGGAAAAGCAAGACACACGGACAAAGAGAAACAACAACAGAGCGAAAGAAAAAAAAGTAGGACCTAACAGTGACTCCTTCCAACAACTAACAAGGCAAAATGAATGTATAAAAAAATAAAAATAATAAAAATAAAAAATAGGACTACACAATAATTTAAAAAAAATGGAACAGTCAAGAATCAACGCCTCTACCACCCTACCAGAAACACAATTATAATGGAAAGCTCAATGTGACACTGAAATACGAGATTTAGTTTTAGTTTGAGTTCGAGTTTTACGGCAGTTGCAGTACAATTAAACTTTATAAGTGCCGAACATTTGAAGTTTTACAAGAGAGTTAGTTTAGTTTTAGTAGAGGTTTTACGGCGCTCGCAACTGCATAAGGTCATACTATGAGCCCCAGAAGATTAGAGATGTTACAAGAGAGTAACAAACATAAAAAAGAAGGGGAGATAGTTTAGTACAGGTTTTACGGCGCTGGCTACTGCATAAGGTCATATTTTATGAGCGGCAGAAGATTAGAGGTGTTACAAGAGAGTAACAAGCATAAAAAAGGAAGAAGAAGGGGAGATAAGGACGATAGATGTTTCAAAGGAAAGAAGAAGCAAACCACACCAGCGCACCCGCCAACCACCCACTACAAGAGTGTTACAAGAGTGTAACAAGCGCAAAAGAAAAGAAGGGGAGAGGATAAGGACGTGACAAGTTAGATTTGAAAAAGGGGGCAAAGCCTACCTGATCACCGCCAACCACCCATACCTTACTAAAGAGAAAGATGGACAACAAAAAAACCCAAC